CATTATTGTACGTCCAGAAGTGGAACCTACATTGACATCATATAGACGTGAAAAAAGGGTCCTGGTCTCGACCGACGTGTCTGAAACGTAATCTACAAGTGAGCTTCGGAAGTTCAGTCGTTCTTTTAATAATATATTACGACTGCTTCCCATTGAGCCGACTGGTGTAGGCGATAAGAAATGAGCCTGATGACGTAGCGACGTGAGTTCAAATCCCGTCTGCTTTGTTTAAGTTGCTTTTTAAACGAAACATTTTTCTCTGTTTGATTAAAAACAAATCAACACTCGACATAGGATCATATAGTTTCTAAGAATAAAACGTGTGAATTTATGTATGTTACTTGTCCATCTCAAGTCTCTATTTGAGAAAGTAAAAGCCGGGCAGCGACAGAGGTACAGATTGAACGTCATATCAACGTCTGGAAGGGCATTGTTTTACGTGTCATGGCCCCGTCTTGGCTGCCCTCTGGTGGCCATGTATATGTTTGCTATTCTCTGCAGGTGTCGCTGAGGAGTGGCATTGGCTGTGCGTGCGTAGGTCCGACGCACATAAAAGACCCGCCTCCAGCCATGGGCTCCTGCTGGCTCACTTCACTCCCAGACCTACACCTGAGAGCCCACTTCTTTGTGACATTAGTTTATTCCAGCTTTCTCTTATAATAAACTTTTATAATTGACATTTGTTTGTTTGGTAAATCCTTGGTTATAGCCTAGAGCCGGGTTATAACAGGTGGGGGCTCGTCATAGAGGACTTTGGGACGAGAGTGGTTTGCGGTGTATGTTGGATGTTTTGTCATTTCTCTTTGATGTGTGGGCGCAAAAGGTGAAGTTGTGCAGAAACATTGGCTGCACTGCAGGTTTTGGTGGATTTGCCTTTCCTATTTGTTTCACAGAGGGGAAGAGCGTTGTTAATTCTGGAAGAGTGGGAGTGAGTCCTGCCCGTAGTCAGTACATCAAGGTGAGTAAAGTGTTGTACGGTGCACCTAAACATCTGTCACAGGCCGGTGTCCCACAGGCATAGGGGCGTTGCTCTTTTGGTTTCGGTCATTTTGTTTAAGTCGTGGGGAGCGGTTAGTGTTCGCCGTTTTCACGGCGTTCTCGGGTGCACGAACCGTGGTCACACTGGTCTCCCCTTGGAGTGCTTAAAACCCCGCCGCAGAACCGTGTGAAGATTAGGGTTGAGATTTAGTGGGCATCGGTTCTGTTGGTTGGCCGCCTGGTGCGCATGTGTCACTGTCTGCACTTTATCTCTCCTTGATTTCTGACTTCGGTGTGTTTGTTCAGAGAATAATGGTGGACATCTCCGACTTTTTTGATTCTCCATCTGAGGAGTTTTTGTCCCAGTGCACAAAGGATCAATTGATGGAGATTGGAAAGAGATATGATATTGATATTGATACAAAGCGGAGCAAAGACAACGTAAGATCCATATTGATAGCCAATCTCATTGATCAAAGAGTGCTTGAAGAAAAGCTGCATGCCTCTTTGCCTTCTGCAGGCCCATCGGCGGTTTTGACTTATGAACAACAGCTGAGGTTATTAGAATTGCAGTTTGAAATTGATCGGGTTAAGTTGGAACAAATTAAACACGGACAGGAGCAGGCGGCTGCCCGTTCCTCTTTTGGCTCTGATGGTTCTGACAACAGTTTTGACGTTATTGGTAATTTACGGTTGTTACCAACATTTTCTGAAAGTGACCCGGACTAATTTTTTCTGATATTTGAGCGTTTGGCTGTGGCGCGGGATTGGAGCAGTTCTGCGCGTGCAATGCTACTTCAATGTGTTCTTGTTGGGCGCGCGCAGGAGGCACTGTCTACATTGAGCACGTCTGAGAGCCAGGATTATGCCAAAGTTAAATCAGCGGTCCTCAAGGCGTATGAGCTCGTGCCTGAGGCGTATAGGCAACGTTTTCGGACGTGTTCTAAGGCGGTAGATCAGAGCCATTTGGAGTTTGTGCGTGACCTAAAAATACATTTTACGCGCTGGTGCCAGTCTACAGGAGCGAACACTTTTGAGCAGCTTTCTGAGCTTGTTGTTTTAGAACAGTTTAAAAATTCTGTTCCTGATGTTGTGGCGACATATATTTGTGAACAGAAAGCGTTGACGGCATCTGCTGCTGCGTCTTTGGCGGATGATTATGTTCTTACGCATAAGTCATCATTTCTGTCTGAAGTGTACAACGAGCAAGATTTGTCTCCCCGTCTGCGGGAGGCTGATGGCGTTTGTAACTACTGTCGTAAGCGTGGACACTGGAAATCGGAGTGTCCTTTTTTGGTTAAAAACAAGATGAGGACTCCTGTGTCTCATGCGCACGGCACTGGATTTGTTACGCGTGTGCGTGATGAGAGTGGCGTTGTTGGATCACCTCAAAGAGAGCACAATTCTATTGTGGCTGATTCCTACAGGCCATTTATTCGGTCAGGATTTGTGTCAGTGTTTGGGGACGATTGTAAGGTGCCCGTTCGTATTCTTAGGGACACAGGTGCATCTGATTCATTCATATTGTCCGGGGTTCTACCATTGTCTCCACTGTCCGAGACTGGTAAACATGTTCCAGTTTGTGGGATTGGTCTGAATGTTGTGTCTGTTCCACTGCACAGGGTAAGGTTGGACTGCGAGTTGTTTAGGGGGGAAGCAGCTCTTGCGGTACGTCCTGCATTACCTTTGGATGGCGTCTCTGTGATTTTGGGGAATGATCTGGCGGGCGCGCACATGTGGCGCTCCATGCCCACTGACACGTCACACGAGGAAATGTCATCCTGCTCAATTGTCCCAGTTTGCACGGTTGCGCGTGTTAGTGCGGGTCCTACTAAAAAACACCGCCAATACGAGCTCCATGTAAGCTCTGGTCGTGGTGGTTTGAGTGCTGTGTGTTCAATGCATGAGGGGTCACGTACACGCGCAGAGTCATGTAACGTGGGTTTTGCAAAGTATCAGTTGAAGTATACTCGCTTGGAGAAGGAGATGCTGTCTCTCGTGATAGCACTGAAGCGTTTTTGTGTTTGGTTTGGTCACAGCACACCTGTGGTGGTGTATGCTCGCCATAACCCGTTCACTGTTTTGGGATCTATGACCTGTCCTAGTCCGCGGATGGTCAGGTGGCTGGCCTATATTTGTTCATTTTGTGTTCACTATGGTAAGGAGTAAACTGTGGCTGTGCCTTCCTATAACCTCCAGCCCTCTCTCCTCTTAAAATGCTTCCTCGGTCCTCCGGTTGCTGGGGACAGACGTGGCAACAGAAGAGGTTGGTGGTTCCTGCAGTGTTTGCTGCATTGTTTATGTCTGTGGTACGTTTATTGTCGGATCTGTGATTGGCTACTGGGATACTTGGGAGATCCTTGTGCTTTATGGCGGGGGGTGTCATGGCCCCGTCTGGGCTGCCCTCTGGTGGCCATGTATATGTTTGCTATTCTCTGCAGGTGTCGCTGAGGAGTGGCATTGGCTGTGCGTGCGTAGGTCCGACGCACATAAAAGACCCGCCTCCAGCCATGGGCTCCTGCCATGGGCTCCTGCTGGCTCACTTCACTCCCAGACCTACACCTGAGCGCCCACGTCTTTGTGACATTAGTTTATTCCAGCTTTCTCTTATAATAAACTTTTATAATTGACATTTGTTTGTTTGGTAAATCCTTGGTTATAGCCTAGAGCCGGGTTATAACATACGTCCAGATGCGCACGCCGTTTAGACGTGGAAAACAGGTCCTCAGCCTAAGTGTTAGGATGTGTTCTCGCATTAGTGGCGTCGGTTGTTTACGGGGCTGCTGATAATATTGTAACAAAGGCCAAAGTGGAATGTCTGACGATGGTGCAGTGGTTAAGGGGTTGCAGATGCGGCGACACGGGTGCGAATCTTTGACTTTATACATTTTGTAGCAAAAAAATGTCTCTGTTTGGTAAAAAAAAAAAGTAATCAACAATGAACAAAGGATTATGTAGTGGTTAAGAATAAAACTTGTGAACTTATGCATTTGTTGTGCTAACAAGTTTCCAACAAGAGGGTGAGCAGGGCAGATATCAACGTCTATGGTACGTCACTGTTTTACGTCCAGATGTGCACCTTACACAGACGTGGTTTGGACGTGGAAAACCGGTCCTCGGCCGACCCACGTGTTAGGACCATAGACTGTATGTTAGGACGCGATCTAGCAAGTGGGCGTCGGTTGTTTAGACGGTTGTCAAGACTATTGTTACAAAGGAAGAATTCCAATGTCTGACGGTGATGTAGTGGCTTTGTAAAATGGCCGCAGCCTCGGCAATGCGGGTTGGAGTCCGCGAGAGAGTCGATTTGACTTTATATATTTATTCCGTTTTTTAGCGAACAATTTTTCTCTGTTTGGTGAAAAACTAATCAACACGCAACATAGGATTATGTAGTGGTTAAGAATAAAACTTGTGAACTTATGCATTTGTTGTCCTAACAATCTCAAGTGTCCACACAGAGGGTGAGCAGGGCAGATAGGGAGGTGGGGATTTCATATCAACGTCTGTGGGAAGTCACTGTTTTACGTCCAGATGCACACCTACACAGACGTCGTTTGGACGTGAATGAAAGGTCACGTCCGACCGACGCGATATGGACGTGATCTGGAGGTTGAGTGGACGTCGGATGTTTAGTGGGAAGTTTGAGGAAGCAGTACCGACACAACGACACAGAGACGTTTCCCAGTCAGGTTTTATTATATTTAAACACAGAGTTTAATTATTTATTTATTTTTAAGGTAAAACACTTTAATCTACAGGTACTTCAAACTTCAAGACCTCCGATTCACACGGGTCATACTTCAGTACCTCAGATCAGGACAAAGTCACTACTTTAGGAAAAGATCAGAACAAACTTCAGGGTCCGGACCAGGGTCAGGTTTAGGACCAGGGTCAGGGTCAGGTTTAGGACCAGGGTCAGGTTTAGGACCAGGTTTAGGACCAGGACCAGGGTCAGGTTTAGGACCAGGGTCAGGACCAGGCTCTCAGCGTCCTCCTCCACAAACCCCTGAGTGTTGGTGCTATGGTGCGAGGACCTGAGCCAAGCCCAGGACCAGGACGATGCTCAGGGTCTGGACCAGATTCTCGGCGTTGGAGGAGGTCCCGTTCTCCGCCACAAACACAGGGTTTGTGGGGGAGGTCGGGACCTCCTCCACAAACCCTGTGTTGTTGCCCGCTCGGTCCTTGATCCAAGTGTTGTACCGGGACACACGGGTGAAGACGGTGGGTGCAGCGGTGCAGCCGCTGGCAAGACCAAAACTGACCACTCCAAACTGAACCCAGGTCTCACCCATCTTCAGGACGAGAGGACCACCAGAGTCTCCCTGGGGATAGACGACAGAAGAATGTGAGAGGGGAGAGTAGACGAAGGAGAAAGAGGAGGACAGCCTCAGTCCTGGGTCTACAGCCTCAGTCCTGGGTCTACAGTCTCAATCCTGGGTCCACAGCCTCAGTCCTGGATCTACAGTCTCAATCCTGGGTCTACAGTCTCAGTCCTGGGTCTACAGCCTCAGTCCTGGGTCTCAGACCTGACAGGAGCCTTTGGTTCTGGTGCCTGCACACAGCATGTCGCCAGTGATGATGTTGGGTCTGTAGAGGGTGCCACAGCGAGTCTGGGACACGATGGGGACCTGGACCTCCTGCAGAGTGCCCGGGGACGGCAGGGACACTGAGGGACAGAAGACAAGATCAGACTAAAGCCTAGTGTATACTTGTGTGGCTAAAGCCTAGTGTATACTTGTGCGGCGTGGCTAAAGCCTAGTGTATACTTGTGCGGCGTGGCTAAAGCCTAGTGTATACTTGTGCGGCGTGGCTAAAGCCTAGTGTATACTTGTGCGGCGTGGCTAAAGCCTAGTGTATACTTGTGCGGCGTGGCTAAAGCCTAGTGTATACTTGTGTGGCTAAAGCCTAGTGTATACTTGTGCGGCGTGGCTAAAGCCTAGTGTATACTTGTGCGGCTAAAGCCTAGTGTATACTTGTGTGGCGTGGCTAAAGCCTAGTGTATACTTGTGCGGCTAAAGCCTAGTGTATACTTGTGTGGCGTGGCTAAAGCCTAGTGTATACTTGTGCGGCTAAAGCCTAGTGTATACTTGTGCGGCTAAAGCCTAGTGTATACTTGTGTGGCGTGGCTAAAGCCTAGTGTATACTTGTGCGGCGTGGCTAAAGCCTAGTGTATACTTGTGCGGCGTGGCTAAAGCCTAGTGTATACTTGTGTGGCGTGGCTAAAGCCTAGTGTATACTTGTGTGGCGTGGCTAAAGCCTAGTGTATACTTGTGCGGCGTGGCTAAAGCCTAGTGTATACTTGTGCGGCGTGGCTAAAGCCTAGTGTATACTTGTGTGGCGTGGCTAAAGCCTAGTGTATACTTGTGCGGCGTGGCTAAAGCCTAGTGTATACTTGCGCGGCGTGGCTTACGTTAGCGGTTGCGGTGGACCTACGTAAGCACAATTGATGTTATACTGGCGCGTTCCCCTTACGGAGTTTTGAGGAGAATGTTGTAATCCCACAACAAACCACATGAGGGCGATCACACAGGAGCGGTCCCATTTACGCTGCTACTTTGTCCTCTTCAGAACAACAATAACAAACAAAGCTGTTTGAGCTCATTACACGTGTTTCTACTGTAGGTTTATGTGATAGTTTTATGGATTCATTATTTTATAAGTCATTTCAACTGTGATGCTGTGAATAAAGACACAGTTCTGTTGGAAACATAGTTATTATTAAATAGTTTTCAGCACAAACAGCAAAACAATAATAGTGGTAAATATCTGAGACAAACATGAACGATTTACGAGTGTATATATGTTAGATATAAGTTATATATATGTTAGATATAAGTTATATATATGTTAGATATAAGTTATATATATGTTAGATATAAGTTATATATATGTTAGATATAAGTTATATATATGTTAGATATAAGTTATATATATGTTAGATATAAGTTATATATATGTTAGATATATTATATATATGTTAGATATAAGTTATATATATGTTAGATATAAGTTATATATAATTTTATATATATGTTAGATATAAGTTATATATATGTTAGATATAAGTTATATATATGTTAGATATAAGTTATATATATGTTAGATATAAGTTATATATATGTTAGATATAAGTTATATATATATGTTAGATATAAGTTATATATATATGTTAGATATAAGTTATATATATGTTAGATATAAGTTATATATATGTTAGATATAAGTTATATATATATATGTTAGATATAAGTTATATATATGTTAGATATAAGTTATATATATGTTAGATAGTCCACAGTCTGCTCCATAGTGCCTCGTCCATGCTCCTGCTGCAGCCGCTCCGTGCTTCCTTCCAATACACACACACGGACCAATCACAGCGGAGCTTCCTTGCGGCGACCTTTACGTAGTTAGAAAATGTCGATGTTGCGCTGCAGGCGACGTAAAGCCTAGTTTATACTCGCGCGGCGCGGAGCTTACGGAGGTGACGTGACGTCACTTGAGCAACGCGTTGGTCACCGCAAGGCCCTTACGTCGCCTGTCGCGCAGCAGCGACATTTTCTAACTACGTAAGGGTCGCCGCAAGGCCCTTACGTTGCCTGCCGCGCAGCATCGACATTTTCTAACTACGTAAGGGTCGCCGCAAGGAAGCTCCGCTGTGATTGGTCCGTGTGTGTGTATTGGAAGGAAGCACGGAGCGGCTGCAGCAGGAGCATGGACGAGGCACTATGGAGCAGACTGTGGACTATCTAACATATATATAACTTATATCTAACATATATCTAACATAAATATAACTTATATCTAACATATATATAACTTATATCTAACATATCTTACTTATATCTAACATATATATAACTTATATCTAACATATATATAACTTATATCTAACATATATATAACTTATATCTAACATATATATAACTTATATCTAACATATATATAACTTATATCTAACATATATATAACTTATATCTAACATATATACACTCGTAAATCGTTCATGTTTGTCTCAGATATTTACCACTATTATTGTTTTGCTGTTTGTGCTGAAAACTATTTAATAATAACTATGTTTCCAACAGAACTGTGTCTTTATTCACAGCATCACAGTTGAAATGACTTATAAAATAATGAATCCATAAAACTATCACATAAACCTACAGTAGAAACACGTGTAATGAGCTCAAACAGCTTTGTTTGTTATTGTTGTTCTGAAGAGGACAAAGTAGCAGCGTAAATGGGACCGCTCCTGTGTGATCGCCCTCATGTGGTTTGTTGTGGGATTACAACATTCTCCTCAAAACTCCGTAAGGGGAACGCGCCAGTATAACATCTGTGCTTACGTAGGTCCACCGCAACCGCTAACGTAAGCCACGCCGCGCAAGTATACACTAGGCTTTAGTGACGACGCACAAGTATACACTAGACTTTAGCCACGCCGCGCAAGTATACACTAGGCTTTAGTGACGACGCACAAGTATACACTAGACTTTAGCCACGCCGCGCAAGTATACACTAGGCTTTAGTGACGACGCACAAGTATACACTAGACTTTAGCCACGCCGCGCAAGTATACACTAGGCTTTAGCCACGCCGCACAAGTATACACTAGGCTTTAGCCACGCCGCGCAAGTATACACTAGGCTTTAGTGACGACGCACAAGTATACTCTAGGCTTTAGCCACACAAGTATACACTAGGCTTTAGCCACACAAGTATACACTAGGCTTTAACCACACAAGTATACACTAGGCTTTAGCCACACAAGTATACACTAGGCTTTAGCCACACAAGTATACACTAGGCTTTAGTGACGACGCACAAGTATACTCTAGGCTTTAGCCACACAAGTATACACTAGGCTTTAGCCACGCCGCGCAAGTATACACTAGACTTTAGCCACGCCGCACAAGTATACACTAGGCTTTAGCCACACAAGTATACACTAGGCTTTAGCCACACAAGTATACACTAGGCTTTAGCCACACAAGTATACACTAGGCTTTAGCCACACAAGTATACACTAGGCTTTAGCCACGCCACACAAGTATACACTAGACTTTAGCCACGCCGCACAAGTATACACTAGACTTTAGCCACGCCGCACAAGTATACACTAGGCTTTAGCCACGCCACACAAGTATACACTAGGCTTTAGCCACACAAGTATACACTAGGCTTTAGCCACACAAGTATACACTAGGCTTTAGTCACACAAGTATACACTAGGCTTTAGCCACGCCACACAAGTATACACTAGGCTTTAGCCACACAAGTATACACTAGGCTTTAGCCACACAAGTATACACTAGGCTTTAGCCACACAAGTATACACTAGGCTTTAGCCACGCCACACAACAAGTATACACTAGGCTTTAGCCACACAAGTATACACTAGGCTTTAGCCACACAAGTATACACTAGGCTTTAGCCACACAAGTATACACTAGGCTTTAGCCACACACAAGTATACACTAGGCTTTAGTCACACACAAGTATACACTAGGCTTTAGCCACACAAGTATACACTAGGCTTTAGCCACGCCACACAAGTATACACTAGGCTTTAGCCACACAAGTATACACTAGGCTTTAGCCACACAAGTATACACTAGGCTTTAGCCACACAAGTATACACTAGGCTTTAGCCGCACAAGTATACACTAGGCTTTAGTCACGCCCACAAGTATACACTAGGCTTTAGCCACACAAGTATACACTAGGCTTTAGCCACACAAGTATACACTAGGCTTTAGCCACGCCACACAAGTATACACTAGGCTTTAGCCACACAAGTATACACTAGGCTTTAGCCACACAAGTATACACTAGGCTTTAGCCACACAAGTATACACTAGGCTTTAGCCACGCCACACAAGTATACACTAGGCTTTAGTCACGCCGCACAAGTATACACTAGGCTTTAGCCACACAAGTATACACTAGGCTTTAACCACACAAGTATACACTAGGCTTTAGCCACACAAGTATACACTAGGCTTTAGCCACGCCGCACAAGTATACACTAGGCTTTAGCCACGCCACACAAGTATACACTAGGCTTTAGTCACGCCACACAAGTATACACTAGGCTTTAGCCACACAAGTATACACTAGGCTTTAGCCACACAAGTATACACTAGGCTTTAGCCACGCAAGTATACACTAGGCTTTAGCCACACAAGTATACACTAGGCTTTAGCCACGCAAGTATACACTAGGCTTTAGCCACGCCACACAAGTATACACTAGGCTTTAGCCACACAAGTATACACTAGGCTTTAGTCACGCCACACAAGTATACACTAGGCTTTAGTCACACAAGTATACACTAGGCTTTAGTCACACAAGTATACACTAGGCTTTAGCCACACAAGTATACACTAGGCTTTAGCCACACAAGTATACACTAGGCTTTAGCCACGCCACACAAGTATACACTAGGCTTTAGTCACGCCGCACAAGTATACACTAGGCTTTAGCCACACAAGTATACACTAGGCTTTAACCACACAAGTATACACTAGGCTTTAGCCACACAAGTATACACTAGGCTTTAGCCACGCCGCACAAGTATACACTAGGCTTTAGTCACGCCACACAAGTATACACTAGGCTTTAGCCACACACAAGTATACACTAGGCTTTAGCCACGCCACACAAGTATACACTAGGCTTTAGCCACGCCACACAAGTATACACTAGGCTTTAGCCACACAAGTATACACTAGGCTTTAGCCACACAAGTATACACTAGGCTTTAGCCGCACAAGTATACACTAGGCTTTAGTCACGCCGCACAAGTATACACTAGGCTTTAGCCGCACAAGTATACACTAGGCTTTAGTCACACAAGTATACACTAGGCTTTAGTCACACAAGTATACACTAGGCTTTAGTCACGCCACACAAGTATACACTAGGCTTTAGCCACACAAGTATACACTAGGCTTTAGCCACACAAGTATACACTAGGCTTTAGTCACGCCACACAAGTATACACTAGGCTTTAACCACGCCACACAAGTATACACTAGGCTTTAGTCACGCCACACAAGTATACACTAGGCTTTAACCACGCCACACAAGTATACACTAGGCTTTAGCCACGCCACACAAGTATACACTAGGCTTTAGCCACACAAGTATACACTAGGCTTTAGCCACGCCACACAAGTATACACTAGGCTTTAGTCACGCCACACAAGTATACACTAGGCTTTAGCCACACAAGTATACACTAGGCTTTAGCCACACAAGTATACACTAGGCTTTACCACCAAGTATACACTAGGCTTTAGCCACACAAGTATACACTAGGCTTTAGCCACACAAGTATACACTAGGCTTTAGCCACACAAGTATACACTAGGCTTTAGCCACACAAGTATACACTAGGCTTTAGCCACACAAGTATACACTAGGCTTTAGCCACACAACCAGTATACACTAGGCTTTAGCCACACAAGTATACACTAGGCTTTAGCCACACAAGTATACACTAGGCTTTAGCCACACAAGTATACACTAGGCTTTAGCCACACAAGTATACACTAGGCTTTAGCCACACAAGTATACACTAGGCTTTAGCCGCACAAGTATACACTAGGCTTTAGCCGCACAAGTATACACTAGGCTTTAGTCACACAAGTATACACTAGGCTTTAGCCGCACAAGTATACACTAGGCTTTAGCCACACAAGTATACACTAGGCTTTAACCACGCCGCACAAGTATACACTAGGCTTTAGTCACACAAGTATACACTAGGCTTTAGCCGCACAAGTATACACTAGGCTTTAGCCACACAAGTATACACTAGGCTTTAGCCGCACAAGTATACACTAGGCTTTAGCCGCACAAGTATACACTAGGGTTAAGGGACAAGACTCCACTGAGGAGAGAAAGAAGAGACGAGTGAGAGCAGAGACCAGCGCCCCCTTCAGTTCAGCGGCCTATAGATGAATAAAGTCAATATGACTATTATTATCTTTATATAATTATAGGATCTATGTGTTTTGTTTTTAAAGCCTTTTGAGAAAATAAAACAATGTACACCACGTGTTAATATAGAGCCTAACTATAAATATGAATAGGGAGTTTGTGTTTGAGTAGCTCTCTGACATTTCTATTTTATGAAAGTAGCTCTCAAATCAAAAAAGGTTGAAAACCCATGAAGAAGAGACAGAGGAGAGAGAGGACACAAGCAAGAGGTTAGAGAGGACAGGGGAGAGAGGAGAGAGACCACACTGAAGAAGTTTGGAACCAAAACCATCTGTTTTACAATTAAGAGGAGCCAGAGCGTGTTCACCACGAGCACTTTTCTATCAGGCCTCGTTGAGCTAGCAGGTTAGCATCTGTATACAGTCTGTGTTAGCATTAGCATCTGTATACAGTCTGTGTTAGCATTAGCATCTGTATACAGTCTGTGTTAGCATTAGCATCTGTATACAGTCTGTGTTAGCATTAGCATCTGTATACAGTCTGTGTTAGCATTAGCATCTGTATACAGTCTGTGTTAGCATTAGCATCTGTATACAGTCTGTGTTAGCATTAGCATCTGTATACAGTCTGTGTTAGCATGTAGCATCTGTATACAGTCTGTGTTAGCATTAGCATCTGTATACAGTCTGTGTTAGCATCCTCCATCTGTATACAGTCTGTGTTAGCATTAGCATCTGTATACAGTCTGTGTTAGCATTAGCATCTGTATACAGTCTGTGTTAGCATTAGCATCTGTATACAGTCTGTGTTAGCATTCTCCATCTGTATACAGTCTGTGTTAGCATTAGCATCTGTATACAGTCTGTGTTAGCATTAGCATCTGTATACAGTCTGTGTTAGCATTAGCATCTGTATACAGTCTGTGTTAGCATTAGCATCTGTATACAGTCTGTGTTAGCATTCTCCATCTGTATACAGTCTGTGTTAGCATTAGCATCTGTATACAGTCTGTGTTAGCATTAGCATCTGTATACAGTCTGTGTTAGCATTCTCCATCTGTATACAGTCTGTGTTAGCATTAGCATCTGTATACAGTCTGTGTTAGCATTGTCCAGCTGTATTCAGTCTCTGGTACAGTGTGTTTAGTGCTGACCGTCCTTGTTGATGTTGCCCCAGCCCGTGACCCACACGTTGGTGCCGCTGTCGGGCTCGTTGCCGTGCGCGGCGAGGCACGTCGGTTGGATGTAGTCGCTGAAGGACACAGTGTCGTTGAGCTGCAGGAGGCTGATGTCGTTCTGAAGCGTGTCGTTGTTATACTTTGCGTGGTTGATGATCTGCATCACGGTGCGCACCACCTCGTTGGGGTTGGTCTGCTCCTGCGTGTGGCGTCCCAGGTACACAGTGATGTCTGACGCTTTGAAACTGAGGAGAGACCAGAGTCAGAGACAGACCTGAGCTAAGGAGAGACCAGGGACAGAGACCAGAGTCAGGGGCCCTCCACGGACCTGAGGTGAGACCAGTGAGAGACACCAGAGAGACCAGGGACAGAGACCAGAGTCAGGGGAGAGTCAGGGGCCCTCCACGGACCTGAGGTGAGACCAGTGAGAGACACCAGAGAGACCAGGGACAGAGACCAGAGTCAGGGGCCCTCCACGGACCTGAGGTGAGACCAGTGAGAGACACCAGAGAGACCAGGGACAGAGACCAGAGTCAGGGGCCCTCCACGGACCTGAGGTGAGACCAGTGAGAGACACCAGAGAGACCAGGGACTAACTTCCCTGAGCTGTACAAAAGTCTCTCTCGGGCCTCCTTCTGGTCTCTCTTACTGGTCTCCCTCTGGATTTTTAGTTAGGTTCAGGTTCAGAAAGTGCATCAGGTGTAATGTGTGACCTCTGACCTCTCCGTGCAATGAGCCGCTGTCAGGATCCATCTGTCGTTGATGAGAGAACCTCCACAGAAGTGAAAAGGACCAACGAACCCCATCCTGCAGAGAAACAAGTGTAATCAGGTGAGAGGAGCAGTGGACCGAGGACCGACCCTTGTGGGACCCCATATCTCAGGGGTGTCAAACCGGTCCTCAAAGGGCCAGTGTGGATGAGGGTTTTAGTTCCACCCTCAGCAGGAGCTCATCAGACTCCACCCATTTCATCAGGTGAGTCCAGTTTTACCCTGATGATTATCTTCAGGTTCACTTTCTGGAACCAGTTTGACTCCCCTGTCTTATCTGATCAATCATGACGAAGTATCGCACTGTTGTGGCTCATGAAAATATCTAATCTTGTTTTAGAATCTGCAATATGTCTCAGATCTCAGAGACTTAACAAAACCATTGAAATCACCAACACAGATCAGAGAATCAACAGTTAAAACACATAAAGAACATAGAACACATGTTGATAAATCTCCATACTTTTGTAGAATGTTAAAGTGTCCTGGATCACCACAGTCCTTTTTGTTAGACACTAACTGCCCAACAGACCCTCCTGCATCAGAGGAAAAACTCACAAAAACCCAGTGGGGAAAAAGTGAGAAACCTCGGGGAGACCCACATGTTCAGTTGGAAAGGTAGACTTGGCCTGTATCACAGGTGTGGGCGGGGCTTAAAAACACCTCAATGAGAATGTTCCTGATATGAGCGTGGATGGATCTAAACACAGTTTCAGGTCTGTGACTGAGGAGGAACACTGCTGTAACATGGTTAAAGCTCACAGAGGTCAGAGGTCAGACTCACACGGTCAGAGAGACCTGCCAGGGCCATGATCCTGCGACCGCGTCCTCTCCGCCCACGATCCTGGTCCTGGTCCTGGTGTTGAGAGGAGCAGAGCCACATTCTGAGGCACGAGAGCTCAGTGTTAGAGGGACAAAACATTAGTCTCATAGAGAACACATGTTTAAAGCTGAGGTCCCTAACTTTAGTCTCATAGAGAACACATGTTTAAAGCTGAGGTCCCTAACTTTAGTCTCATAGAGAACACATGTTTAAAGCTGAGGTCCCTAACATTAGTCTCATAGAGAACACATGTTTAAAGCTGAGGTCCCTAACTTTAGTCTCATAGAGAACACATGTTTAAAGCTGAGGTCCCTAACTTTAGTCTCATAGAGAACACATGTTTAAAGCTGAGATCCCTAACTTTAGTCTCATAGAGAACACATGTTTAAAGCTGAGGTCCCTAACTTTAGTCTCATAGAGAACACATGTTTAAAGCTGAGGTCCCTAACTTTAGTCTCATAGAGAACACATGTTTAAAGCTGAGGTCCCTAACTTTAGTCTCATAGAGAACACATGTTTAAAGCTGAGGTCCCTAACTTTAGTCTCATAGAGAACACATGTTTAAAGCTGAGGTCCCTAACTTTAGTCTCATAGAGAACACATGTTTAAAGCTGAGGTCCCTAACTTTAGTCTCATAGAGAACACATGTTTAAAGCTGAGGTCCCTAACATTAGTCTCATAGAGAACACATGTTTAAAGCTGAGGTCCCTAACTTTAGTCTCATAGAGAACACATGTTTAAAGCTGAGGTCCCTAACTTTAGTCTCATAGAGAACACATGTTTAAAGCTGAGGTCCCTAACTTTAGTCTCATAGAGAACACATGTTTAAAGCTGAGGTCCCTAACTTTAGTCTCATAGAGAACACATGTTTAAAGCTGAGGTCCCTAACTTTAGTCTCATAGAGAACACATGTTTAAAGCTGAGATCCCTAACTTTAGTCTCATAGAGAACACATGTTTAAAGCTGAGGTCCCTAACTTTAGTCTCATAGAGAACACATGTTTAAAGCTGAGGTCCCTAACTTTAGTCTCATAGAGAACACATGTTTAAAGCTGAGGTCCCTAACTTTAGTCTCATAGAGAACACATGTTTAAAGCTGAGGTCCCTAACTTTAGTCTCATAGAGAACACATGTTTAAAGCTGAGGTCCCTAACTTTAGTCTCATAGAGAACACATGTTTAAAGCTGAGGTCCCTAACTTTAGTCTCATAGAGAACACATGTTTAAAGCTGAGGTCCCTAACTTTAGTCTCATAGAGAACACATGTTTAAAGCTGAGGTCCCTAACTTTAGTCTCATAGAGAACACATGTTTAAAGCTGAGGTCCCTAACTTTAGTCTCATAGAGAACACATGTTTAAAGCTGAGGTCCCTAACTTTAGTCTCATAGAGAACACATGTTTAAAGCTGAGGTCCCTAACTTTAGTCTCATAGAGAACACATGTTTAAAGCTGAGGTCCCTAACTTTAGTCTCATAGAGAACACATGTTTAAAGCTGAGGTCCCTAACTTTAGTCTCATAGAGAACACATGTTTAAAGCTGAGGTCCCTAACTTTAGTCTCATAGAGAACACATGTTTAAAGCTGAGGTCCCTAACTTTAGTCTCATAGAGAACACATGTTTAAAGCTGAGGTCCCTAACTTTAGTCTCATAGAGAACACATGTTTAAAGCTGAGGTCCCTAACTTTAGTCTCATAGAGAACACATGTTTAAAGCTGAGGTCCCTAACTTTAGTCTCATAGAGAACACATGTTTAAAGCTGAGATCCCTAACTTTAGTCTCATAGAGAACACATGTTTAAAGCTGAGGTCCCTAACTTTAGTCTCATAGAGAACACATGTTTAAAGCTGAGATCCCTAACTTTAGTCTCATAGAGAACACATGTTTAAAGCTGAGGTCCCTAACTTTAGTCTCATAGAGAACACATGTTTAAAGCTGAGGTCCCTAACTTTAGTCTCATAGAGAACACATGTTTAAAGCTGAGGTCCCTAACTTTAGTCTCATAGAGAACACATGTTTAAAGCTGAGGTCCCTAACTTTAGTCTCATATAGAACACATGTTTAAAGCTGAGGTCCCTAACTTTAGTCTCATAGAGAACACATGTTTAAAGCTGAGGTCCCTAACTTTAGTCTCATAGAGAACACATGTTTAAAGCTGAGATCCCTAACTTTAGTCTCATAGAGAACACATGTTTAAAGCTGAGGTCCCTAACTTTAGTCTCATAGAGAACACATGTTTAAAGCTGAGGTCCCTAACTTTAGTCTCTTAGAGAACACATGTTTTAAAGCTGAGGTCCCTAACTTTAGTCTCATAGAGAACACATGTTTAAAGCTGAGGTCCCTAACTTTAGTCTCATAGAGAACACATGTTTAAAAGCTGAGGTCCCTAACTTTAGTCTCATAGAGAACACATGTTTAAAGCTGAGGTCCCTAACTTTAGTCTCATATAGAACACATGTTTAAAGCTGAGGTCCCTAACTTTAGTCTCATAGAGAACACATGTTTAAAGCTGAGGTCCCTAACTTTAGTCTCATAGAGAACACATGTTTAAAGCTGAGGTCCCTAACTTTAGTCTCATAGAGAACACATGTTTAAAGCTGAGGTCCCTAACTTTAGTCTCATATAGAACACATGTTTAAAGCTGAGGTCCCTAACTTTAGTCTCATAGAGAACACATGTTTAAAGCTGAGGTCCCTAACTTTAGTCTCATAGAGAACACATGTTTAAAGCTGAGGTCCCTAACTTTAGTCTCATAGAGAACACATGTTTAAAGCTGAGGTCCCTAACTTTAGTCTCATAGAGAACACATGTTTAAAGCTGAGGTCCCTAACTTTAGTCTCATAGAGAACACATGTTTAAAGCTGAGGTCCCTAACTTTAGTCTCATAGAGAACACATGTTTAAAGCTGAGGTCCCTAACTTTAGTCTCATAGAGAACACATGTTTAAAGCTGAGGTCCCTAACTTTAGTCTCATATAGAACACATGTTTAAAGCTGAGGTCCCTAACTTTAGTCTCATAGAGAACACATGTTTAAAGCTGAGGTCCCTAACTTTAGTCTCATAGAGAACACATGTTTAAAGCTGAGGTCCCTAACTTTAGTCTCATAGAGAACACATGTTTAAAGCTGAGGTCCCTAACTTTAGTCTCATATAGAACACATGTTTAAAGCTGAGGTCCCTAACTTTAGTCTCATAGAGAACACATGTTTAAAGCTGAGGTCCCTAACTTTAGTCTCATAGAGAACACATGTTTAAAGCTGAGGTCCCTAACTTTAGTCTCATAGAGAACACATGTTTAAAGCTGAGGTCCCTAACTTTAGTCTCATAGAGAACACATGTTTAAAGCTGAGGTCCCTAACTTTAGTCTCATAGAGAACACATGTTAAAAGCTGAGGTCCCTAACTTTAGTCTCATAGAGAACACATGTTTAAAGCTGAGGTCCCTAACTTTAGTCTCATAGAGAACACATGTTTAAAGCTGAGGTCCCTAACTTTAGTCTCATAGAGAACACATGTTTAAAGCTGAGGTCCCTAACTTTAGTCTCATAGAGAACACATGTTTAAAGCTGAGGTCCCTAACTTTAGTCTCATAGAGAACACATGTTTAAAGCTGAGGTCTAAATTAACAATTACAAAAATGGCAACAAAAGTTTTCGAGCCAGGGGCAAGTACCATGGGTTTATCTATAGGTCTATTGTTATGGTCTGAAGATTAGGTATCTCAGCTTTAATTTCTGCTCTAATTGAATCATAAACGTGAGAAAAATCACTTACCCAGTTCCATCATAGCTCCAACCCCTGAAACACAAACATCAGGTAAGAACAGAGGAGACTGGGTCTTGGTTCGGGTCTGGGTCTGGGTTTTGGCTTGGTCTGAGTTTGGATGAACAAATGATGATGATGAAGAGACATTTACCTGAGATGAAGAGGAGCAGAGGAGCCCAGAGAGAGCTGACTGCAGACATGGTTCAGACCTGGTTCAGACCTGGTTCAGACCTGGTTCAGACCTGGTTCAGACCTGGTTCAGACCTGGTTCAGACCTGGTTCAGACCTGGTTCAGACCTGCTTCAGACCTCTTCTGTGACAGGTGTATAAATACACTTGGTGAGAAGCCCGCCCACTGAACAGGGAGTGTTTAATTAATTCCAGTTTTCATTCCTGTTTTCACCTTTTCAATAATCAGAATCAGAATCATTTTTATTTCCGCGTAAGTAACAGGAAGTCACAGACTTGGAAATTGCTTTGGCTCAGTGCAACAGTCAGAAAGAGATAATAAAGAATAAAAATAAAGAATAAAAAAAAATAAAGAATAAAAAACACTTCTAAGGAATAAATTTAAATCTAAAATAGAGTTACAGTTAATATTTACAATACACAATGTAAGGTGACAGCAGTACAGTGAAGTAAAGTGACGTATGTTGAAATTAAAAACAAAAGAGAAAGAGAGCAGCAAAGAGCCGTGTCGACCGAACGAGGCGCCATCTTGTTCCTCTGCTGCTGTAACTTATGTGCCACGTAGGCATAACATTTTATGGCCATGTTTATTTAATAAAATATATATAATCATTTAATTACCTTGTTTACTCACCTGTGCCATTGCCTAAAATAAATGAAAAATGAAATGAAAAAAACAGTACTTGGTAGTACTTGTAGTTTATTTGTAGAGCGCAGTTCAGAGAGAGCTCAAAGGGCTGAACAAAACATGAAGAGAAACATAAATCATCACAGTGCATTAAAAAGAGTGAAGATACAATCCTTCAGGTGTATGCACTAAAACTGGAGGAGACGCCTGTCTCACACTTTCAGGAAGACTGTTCCAGATGCTAGCTGTATAAATCTGAGACACTGCCTCTCCACATTTAGTGATAACTATGGGCACCAGCCGGAGGCCAGTCCCTGTGCTCCTCAGAGTCCCAGCAGGAGGCCAGTCCCTGTGCTCCTCAGAGTCCCAGCAGGAGGCCAGTCCCTGTGCTCCTCAGAGTCCCAGCAGGAGCCCAGTCCCTGTGCTCCTCAGAGTCCCAGCAGGAGCCCAGTCCCTGTGCTCCTCAGAGTCCCAGCAGGAGGCCAGTCCCTGTGCTCCTCAGAGTCCCAGCAGGAGTCCAGTCCCTGTGCTCCTCAGAGTCCCAGCAGGAGCCCAGTCCCTGTGCTCCTCAGAGTCCCAGCAGGAGTCCAGTCCCTGTGCTCCTCTGAATCTGAGTTGGTTCATATGGCACTAACATGTCACAGTACTTTGGTGCAAGGAGAGACTTGTACAAGAGCAGAGACTTGAGACCAGGACTTTTGTGAGAGGACTTCAGGACAGAGACCTGAGACCAGGACTAATGTGAGAGGACTTCAGGACAGAGACCTGAGACCAGGACTAATGTGAGAGGACTTCAGGACAGAGACCTGAGACCAGGACTAATGTGAGAGGACTTCAGGACAGAGACCTGAGACCAGGACTAATGTGAGAGGACTTCAGGACAGAGACCTGAGACCAGGACTAATGTGAGAGGACTTCAGGACAGAGACCTGAGACCAGGACTAATGTGAGAGGACTTCAGGACAGAGACCTGAGACCAGGACTTTTGTGAGAGGACTTCAGGACAGAGACCTGAGACCAGGACTAATGTGAGAGGACTTCAGGACAGAGACCTGAGACCAGGACTAATGTGAGAGGACTTCAGCGACACTAGAAACACCAGCAGAGACACCTGAGGGACCAGACACCAGCAGTGACAACAAAGACAACAGTATAGAGCCACCAGCCTCAGTCTGGGACCTGGCTCCTGGTCTTTGGTTCCTCAAACTGACCAAGTGTTGTCTGTAGTGTGTTAGTGTTGTCTGTAGTGTGTTAGTGTTGTCTGTAGTGAGATTCATGTGTTAGTGTTGTCTGTAGTGTGTTAGTGTTGTCTGTAGTGTGTTAGTGTTGTCTGTAGTGTGTTAGTGTTGTCTGTAGTGTGTTAGTGTTGTCTGTAGTGAGATCCATGTGTTAGTGTTGTCTGTAGTGTGTTAGTGTTGTCTGTAGTGTGTTAGTGTTGTCTGTAGTGAGATGTGTTAGTGTTGTCTGTAGTGTGTTAGTGTTGTCTGTAGTGAGAGATTCATGTGTTAGTGTTGTCTGTAGTGAGATCCATGTGTTAGTGTCTGTAGTGTGTTAGTGTTGTCTGTAGTGAGATCCATGTGTTAGTGTTGTCTGTAGTGTGTTAGTGTTGTCTGTAGTGTGTTAGTGTTGTCTGTAGTGTGTTAGTGTTGTCTGTAGTGTGGTGTGTGTCTGTAGTGTGTGTCTGTTGTGTGTGTCTGTAGTGTGTGTCTGTAGTGTGTCTGTAGTGTGTGTCTGTGTGTGTCTGTAGTGTGTGTCTGTATTGTGTGTCTGTAGTGTGTGTCGGTAGTGTTTGTCTGTAGTGTGTAGTGTTTGTCTGTAGTGTGTGTCTGTGTGTCTGTAGTGTGTGTCTGTAGTGTGTGTCTGTAGTGTGTCTGTAGTGTGTGTCTGTAGTGTGTCTGTAGTGTGTGTCTGTAGTGTGTGTCTGTAGTGTGTGTCTGTTGTGTGTGTGTGTCTGTAGTGTGTGTCTGTAGTGTGTGTTGTGTGTGTCTGTAGTGTGTCTGTAGTGTGTCTGTAGTGTGTGTGTGTCTGTAGTGTTTGTCTGTAGTGTGTCTGTTGTGTGTGTCTGTAGTGTGTCTGTAGTGTGTGTCTGTAGTGTGTCTTTTGTGTGTGTGTCTGTAGTGTGTCTGTACTGTGTGTCTGTAGTGTGTGTCTGTAGTGTGTGTCTGTAGTGTGTCTGTAGTGTGTCTTTTGTGTGTGTCTGTAGTGTCTGTCTGTAGTGTTTCTGTAGTGTGTCTGTAGTGTGTGTCTGTGTGTCTGTGTGTGTGTCTGTTGTGTCTGTTGTGTGTGTCTGTAGTGTGTCTGTTGTGTGTGTCTGTAGTGTGTCTGTAGTGTGTGTCTGTAGTGTGTGTCTGTAGTGTGTGTCTGTAGTGTGTGTCTGTAGTGTGTGTCTGTAGTGTGTGTCTGTTGTGTGTGTCTGTAGTGTGTGTCTGTAGTGTGTCTGTTGTGTGTCTGTAGTGTGTCTGTAGTGTGTGTCTGTAGTGTGTCTGTAGTGTGTCTGTTGTGTGTGTCTGTAGTGTGTGTCTGTTGTGTGTGTCTTTAGTGTATGTCTGCAGTGTGTGTCTGTTGTGTGTGTCTGTTGTGTGTCTGTAGTGTGTCTGTAGTGTGTCTGTAGTGTGTGTCTGTAGTATGTCTGTAGTGTGTGTCTGTAGTGTGTGTCGGTAGTGTGTGTCTGTTGTGTGTGTCTGTAGTGTTTGTCTGTAGTGTGTGTCTGTAGTGTGTCTGTAGTGTGTGTGTTGTGTGTGTCTGTAGTGTGTCTGTAGTGTGTCTGTTGTGTGTGTCTGTAGTGTGTCTGTAGTGTGTCTGTAGTATGTCTGTAGTGTGTCGGTAGTGTGTGTCTGTTGTGTGTGTCTGTAGTGTTTGTCTGTAGTGTGTGTCTGTAGTGTGTCTGTAGTGTGTCTGTAGTGTGTCTTTTGTGTGTGTCTGTAGTGTTTGTCTGTAGTGTGTGTCTGTAGTGTGTGTCTGTAGTGTGTCTGTAGTGTGTGTCTTTAGTGTGTCTTTTGTGTGTGTCTGTAGTGTTTGTCTGTAGTGTGTGTCTGTAGTGTGTCTGTAGTGTGTGTCTGTAGTGTGTCTGTTGTGTGTGTCTGTAGTGTGTGTCTGTTGTGTGTGTCTGTAGTGTGTGTCTGTGGTGTGTCTGTAGTGTGTGTCTGTAGTGTTTGTCTGTAGTGTGTGTCTGTAGTGTGTGTGTCTGTAGTGTGTCTGTTGTGTGTGTCTGTAGTGTGTGTCTGTAGTGTGTCTAGTGTGTGTCTGTAGTGTGTCTGTAGTGTTTGTCTGTAGTGTGTCTGTAGTGTGTGTCTAGTGTGTCTGTAGTGTGTGTCTGTTGTGTGTGTCTGTAGTGTGTCTGTTGTGTGTGTCTGTAGTGTGTCTGTAGTGTGTGGCTGTAGTGTGTCTGTAGTGTGTGGCTGTAGTGTGTCTGTTGTGTGTGTCTGTAGTGTTTGTCTGTAGTGTGTCTGTAGTGTGTGTCTGTAGTGTGTCTGTGTGTCTGTGTGTGTGTTGTGTGTGTCTGTAGTGTGTCTGTTGTGTGTGTCTGTAGTGTGTCTGTTGTGTGTGTCTGTAGTGTGTCTGTTGTGTGTGTCTGTAGTGTGTCTGTTGTGTGTGTCTGTAGTGTGTCTGTAGTGTGTGGCTGTAGTGTGTCTGTTGTGTGTGTCTGTAGTGTGTGGCTGTAGTGTGTCTGTAGTGTTTGTCTGTAGTGTGTGTCTGTAGTGTGTCTGTAGTGTGTGTCTGTAGTGTGTCTGTACTGTGTGTCTGTAGTGTGTCTGTACTGTGTGTCTGTAGTGTGTGTCTGTAGTGTGTCTGTAGTGTGTGTCTGTAGTATGTCTGTAGTGTGTGTCTGTAGTGTGTGTCGGTAGTGTGTGTCTGTTGTGTGTGTCTGTAGTGTTTGTCTGTAGTGTGTCTGGTGTGTGTCTGTAGTGTGTCTGTAGTGTGTGTCTGTAGTGTGTCTGTAGTGTGTGGCTGTAGTGTGTCTGTTGTGTGTGTCTGTAGTGTTTGTCTGTAGTGTGTCTGTAGTGTGTGTCTGTAGTGTGTCTGTAGTGTGTGTCTGTAGTGTTTGTCTGTAGTGTGTGTCTGTAGTGTGTGTCTGTAGTGTGTGTCTGTTGTGTGTGTCTGTTGTGTGCCTGTAGTGTGTGTCTGTAGTGTTTGTCTGTAGTGTGTGTCTGTAGTGTGTGTCTGTAGTGTGTGTCTGTTGTGTGTGTCTGTTGTGTGTGTCTGTTGTGTGTGTCTGTTGTGTGTGTCTGTAGTGTGTCTGTTGTGTGTGTCTGTAGTGTGTGTCTGTAGTGTGTCTGTTGTGTGTGTCTGTAGTGTGTGTCTGTAGTGTGTGTCTGTAGTGTGTCTGTAGTGTGTGTCTGTAGTGTTTGTCTGTAGTGTGTGTCTGTAGTGTTTGTCTGTAGT